GAGTAGCTTTAAATATTTATAAATCTTTATATATAATAAGAAAGGTTAAGTCAATACCTTTTGTTATTTATTTTTATTTTTAGGTTGAATAATTTTTAGCCATGTTTCCAATAGTTAACTACTAAGATGAAACTAATGGCTAAGTCATCATTAAGAGTTTATTACTAATAATTACAGTTTTATCGATGGAGGGAGAGGGGTAAAAAATATGTAAGATTTTATTTTATTGTTAATTGGAGTTTAGAGTTGTGTGTTTTTTTATGATTCTTTTTTTATTTATTTATTTTAGAGGTTTTCGCAATAGGGCGTGTGCGCTCGCTAGAGAGACAGAGAGATAGAAAGTGAGAAATCATTCCTTGGGGGGATGGCTATGCCACAATCCCTTCTCCTTCATTCTCCTCTCGGGAGCTTGGGCATGCACACACACGCGCCCGGCGTGAGTTTAAGCCACCAGGTCTGTAGAATTGTGTTTTTTTACAGCCATGTTGTAAATATGCTAGGTACTGTTTGTAGTTTAGAATTACAAAGATAAATAAGATAGCATTATAGTCTATGTTCAGGTACTAGTGATGGATATAAACATATAAGCTGTTTGTATAATATGTAAATGTCATGATAGATATATACATAAAATAAAGTTTCCACAAGAGATAATTCTCTAAATCTCTAATTTTTTGTTAAAATTATTTTTACATACTTAAATTTTATTGTTATTATTATTTTTTTGAGAGGTTTTTGCTATAGGGCTCGTGCGCTCGCCAAACAGACAGAGAGAGACATAGAGACAGAAAGCGAGAAATCGCCCCCCAGGGGGGATGGTCACACCGCAATCCCTTCTCCTCCATTCTCTTCTCGGGATCTTGGGCACGCACGCACACGCACCCGGCATGAGTTCTAAGCCACCGGGTCCGGGACGCGAACCGCGGTCGACCACGTGGGAGTCCAGCGACATAGCCATTACGCTAACTGCTGGTTCCCATTATTATTATTTTTTTTAATTGTCAGAATGCATGTGTATTCACCAGAGATGGTGGGAGGGATAGCTCACCCTCCAACAGGATACTGTCATCTCGCAACTTCTTTCCTCCAAATCTCCATCCTGTTGGGATTGGGGTCACGCTCACAAATGCACCAGGGGTGTTTTCTCAAGCCACTGGGTCTGGAATTCAAACTGTTGGTCAGTCATGTGGGGTCTGGCTCCCGTGACCATTAAGCTATGGGCCCAACCCAATACTTTTCAATCCTGTAAAAAGTTAAAGAGGATGGAGGCCAACAGGTGGCATGGTACTTAAGATGCTGGATTCCCATATGGCTGACCATGGTTGAGTCCTGGACCCAGTGGCTTGAAAATCATGCCAAATGTGTGTGCACACACCCAAAATCCCAAGAGGAGAATGAAAGAGAACTGATTGTGGCATGACTATTTCTCCTACGAGGTGATTTCTCACTTTTCGTTTCACTGTCTTTGTCTTAGGTGAGCACTTGTACCCTATGGCAAAACCTTTTAAAAAAAAAAGTTAAGAGGACAACAAATAAATAAATACCTGTATTTGTAAATTATTAATGTTTTGCCATACTTATATAATCATGAATATGGCATATCATTCATATGATAGAAATGTATATAAGTAATTATATATCATATACATACATTTGAGATTTGCAAGTAAACTATCAATAAATTGACGCTTGACTCTTAAATATTTAGGCATGCATGTGTTAAAGAACATTCTTCTCCAAAATGATTTCATAGTGACATCTGAGAAAATTAATTCAATAATCCAAATTCAGTTATCCAAAGTCACAGTCCAAATTCAGATTTCACCATGAAGAAATGTCTCATGCTTTTTCCCCGATTGTTTCAGTTAGCTTCCTTACGAATTATATTTGGTTATTGAATCACTTCAGTCTTTTAAAATCTAGGACAGTTATCTTCCAGTTTTTAAAAAAATATTTTTATTTATTTATTTATTTTATGACATTGATTTATTTGAAGAGACCAGTTAAAGTCCCTCCTTCTGGATTTGTCTGATAAGTTTCTCATGGTTGATCTAGGATCAGCATTTTTAGCAAGCACACCACAGAGGTGATATGTATTTCTTATTGCATCACATCAAGAAATACATGTCATGTTATCTCATTTTATGTTTTATTTTATTTTTTAGAGAGATTTTTTCGGCGCATGTGCTCGCTGGAGAGACAGACAGAAAGAAGGCGAGAAATCACCCCCCAGAGGGAATAGCCACACTGCAATCCCTTCTCCATTCTCCTCTTGGGATTTTGGGCATGCATACACAAGCACCCAATGTGAGTTTTAAGCCACTGGGTCGGGGACTTAAACCATGGTCAATTATGTGGAAGTCCAGCGACGTAACCACAATACCATCTGCCGGTCCTGTAATCTCAATTTATTGGATGCAAGGAATGATTACTTGGGTTCAACAGTGGCTAATTTGTCTCCCCATTTTCTCCTTTATAATGAGTAAGCAGTCTAACCTCTTATCTAGTTATTTTTCACCCTATAATTTTGGTATTTATTATTGATCCTTACCTGGGTTGCATTGAAGGACTGTAAAATGGACTTTTATACAACTGAGAAGTATAAAAAAGCATTCCCATTTACTCTCTAGTATTGCCATTAACTTACGGATTTTTAAAAATTCAATATTTTATTCCTCTAAACCAGTTTCTGTGTCTTTTGACATGCTTTCTGCCATTAAAAGGAAATCTCAGACTTAACCTAGTAATTTTCATGTCCCAGATTTGGCATCAGCCATTTCTTCAGGGAGCCTTGGTTCTTTTTATTGGAGGAATGAATGCTATTTGACCTAATTCAGGATAAACAGAAGTTAGGCCAAGTAGTAGGTTTAAAAGATGGCACCAAGACAGAGAGATGAGGAGCAGCATAGAGATGTTTGGTGAATAGAAAATTTTAATCAATTTCAAAGGAGATTTAAAATTAGGGCTGAGTAAAACTGAAGATTATGTGGGTAGTCATGGTTATAGTATTCACACTGGAGGAGTACATATGTGTTCTTCAAGCCACAGACTAATATGAGGGAGTCATTTATTTGAATGCTAAATATGAATCAAAGTAGTTTAAAATATTTTAGTTTTAAAACAAATTCTGCAGTATGATACATGTTTGTGTGTGTTTGTGAGAAGGAATGTGAAGCTATGTCGAGAGTGTAACAGGTAGGTTAGCCTAAGTAGGAAGGGAGCAAGGTACGCATGACCACTTGCTGTGTTGGTGAAGGCACTGGACTCTTACATGGCCAAGTACAGTTTGAATCCCAGACCTGGAGGCTTGAAAATCACACCAGGCGTGTGTGTGTGTGTGGTTTGTGAGAAGGAATGTGAAGCTATGTCGAGAGTGTAACAGGTAGGTTAGCCTAAGTAGGAAGGGAGCAAGGTACGCATGACCACTTGCTGTGTTGGTGAAGGCACTGGACTCTTACATGGCCAAGTACAGTTTGAATCCCAGACCTGGATGAAAAAAACACACGGCGTGTGTGTGTGTGTGTGTGCCCAAAACCCAGGAGGAGAATGGAGTAGAGGAAATTGCTGCGTGGCCACCTCCCCCTTCCGCCCGGGGTGATTTCTAACTTGCCCTCTCACATTTCCGTTTCTTTCTGGTGAGGCAAAGACCTTTTTAAAAAAGGCGAAAGAAAGAAAAGAAAAAATACATGATGATGTTATTACTCTGGAGGCCAGATTTTTATTCAGATCAAAAGAGTAGAATCAAGAACGTCTTAGAATATTGCCATTATGTTAGGTAAGAAAAGGTAGGTCTGATCTAGAGCAGAGGTAAGGAGTGGGAGAGATAAGGATAAATTTGAGGACGATTCAGGAATTATTAGACAAGACTGGATCATGGGGAGAGAAGGAAATTTAGGATGACTTCTCCAAACTATGTTATTTACTAGATGCATTTTTTATTTTGTTAGGTCAGGAAAGATTGTTGTTTTGGGGTAGAAATAACGGAAGATAAAGAGTTAAATTTTGGTCGTGTTGCGCTTGTGTCCAGTAGGCATTTGTAATGTGCCATTCTAAGGGTCAATGAAGAGTTCTTTAGTGGATACAATTTTGGGAATCAACAACATATTACTGAAATATATTGCTTAGGGTGGTGCTAAAGGAGAGTGTGGACCAAGGATGCATTCCGAATTCAAGCATTCTATCACAAAATATAGTAGTCAAGAGCATGGGGAAGGGGTGTGTGGGAGGCAGTCTATATTTCACCATCGGCCAGTTAGTTTCTGAAATAGAAGTAAGACTAGAGATTTAGTTGTAGGAAAGCCATCTTGTTGATAATCTCTTTCTCCTGGTGTACCTAGCAGTTTATGACTTCAGTCCTCTTATTACTGTCCCAGTGATATTCCTAACTAGTCTAAATAAAAGCAGAAATCTCAGTTTAAACCTCTCCTCTACTACTGCCAAAGGGGAAAGAGAAGATAAGAAAAAAGAAAATTTAGGAAACTAAAAGGCAAAATTTAAATGCAACTATTTATATTTATTATTCCTTTAAAAACCTAAATTTTACGTTGATAATATTAGCTAAATACTAGTGATGGTTTGTAATTTGATCTACCTTTTAATATCTTTATGAGTTTTCCTTTTTTATGTTGTACAGTTTTGAATTCTATGCTGATCTCATCCTGCTACTCAACCTTGCTTTAGAATTGCTGGTACTACGTTTTGAAAGATCATGAAATAAATATAAAAACAACTTAAAGAAAAATCAGTAAATATCTTTACAAAATTATAAGTTTTCATGGCAAGTGGGATTTTTTTTATACTCTGTTTTAGATTGCCTGCAAATTCAAGAATCAAGAGAACAAGACAGAATAGACTTGAGATTTAAAGAGGAAGAAATGATTATTTCTTAAACAGTATTAGCTGTTCTTGAATAGAGTGCTCAAATGGCAGACATTTTGAACTTCGTAATTATGGAAATAATGTATGAGAAATATTTAGAAAGCATCTGTTTCCATTTTTAGATTGGGCTGGCTTAGATGAAGATGAAGACGCACATGTCTGGGAGGATAATTGGGATGATGACAATGTAGAGGATGACTTCTCCAATCAGTTACGGTAAGTTTTAAGCCACATTTTTATTATAGTTCACTATTAATTGTAAGCACAAAACTAGGTAACTTAATGGATAATTGACTACTTAAAAGATACTTAATCTTTGAAATAAATTTTTGAATCACATTTAGTAAGACATAATGCCTTCATTTCCTGTATGTCTAAACATGAATACTTTGTGTAATTGTATACAACCTTTATTCTTTACAGTTTCTTTATAAAGGTAGCTAAATAGAAGCATATTTGCTATTTTTTATCCTTGTTGGCTTAATTCTGTCAGTGTTAATTTTCTATAATATTTCCAGTTTAAGTTGATTTTGCAGGAATTAGAATCAGAGTGCTGGTCTATAGTAGATTGATGATTCTAAAATGGAACGGACATTAGGGTTGTGGGAGTGTACTTTCTCATTCACATGCAAATCTACCTATCTAGTTGTTGAATTAAAATTCATATAAAGTGAACCATTTTAAAGTGTATAAACTCAGAGGCATTCAGTATATTCACAATATTATACAACCATCATCTCTATTTAGTTCCAGTATTTTCAGCATCCCGAAGTAAACAACTGTAACCACCATTTACTCGACATTCTCCTTTCCTGTAGCCCCTGGCAACTGCTGTTTTCTGTCTCTATGAATTGTCCTATTTAAAATATTGTATATGAATGGAATCATATAATATGTGATCTTGTGTGTCTAGCTTCCATCAATGTGTGTAGCATGTTAATACTTCATTCCTTTTTAATAACTGAATAATTGTCTATTGAATGCTCTATTTTATTTATCCATTTATTAGTTGATGGATATTTGGTCTGTTTCTTTAATTTGGCTATTGTGAATAGTACTGCTTGTTCACAGCAGTACTATTCACATGTACATGTTGTCTGAATACCTATTTCTAATTCTTCTGGATGTATACTTAGAAGTGGATTTGCTGGTAATTCTATGTCTGATTTTTTGAAGAACTGCCAAAATGTGTTCTATAGTTGCTGAGCAGTTTTATGTTGGTACTACCAATATATGAAGGTTCCAGCCTCCACATTATCACCAACTTACTTTTCACTTAAAAATTATTATTTGTTTATGTACAGTCACACATTGTACATCAATACAGTATACAAAATGAGATTTTATATCCATATACATTATATATTGGCTCAATCAAGGATATTACCATACATGTTATCATCAACAAATAATTTTCTATTTCTTAATATATTTCACTTTATTTTTTTCACTCCATTAAATTCTACTTCTCATCCTCTGCCAAATCACCCTCTTCTCCCACACTGTCTCTGGCATGTACAGTTGTTTTCCATACCTTTTTTCCCACATTTTATTGATTCACTAAAGATCTTAATTAAAGACTTTGAATAGCAAGCACAGCTGACATATACATATTTATGCACACATGTCTGACTTTAGGCATAAACCTCAGAGAGTAAAGTGAACATATTATAAAGTAGCACTCACTAGGGCTATATAGCTTACTGTAGTCAATAAATAGGTATTAGTAGGTATTTTTAATGCATTTTTTATTAAAAAAAGTTTTAGTTTTAATAGATCAAAAAGTGTTAAGAAGTTTGCTTAAAACTTAAAGCTAGGAAAATGGTTAGGACTCGGTTCAAATAGTAGGTAGATGAACCTATCAGCAGTTCAAGAGAAGATAAATATCCTTAAATATGGAAATCAAGGCATTGAAGAAAATCAATAATGTTTTAGTCTAAAGTAAAAAAAATTCTATTTCACTAGTTCGTACTCACATAATCTATTTCACTAGTTCAGACTCACATAATTTGCAATGTTACTGTGGTCTGATCTTTCCATTTAAACTCTGGAAGTTAACATTCAACTCTGGACTTGTCTCTACCATTAGGCTGGCCATTCTCTTAGTTGTTTCTTATACTCTTTCTTATTTCTGTGTGCCTGACTTTATAGTTTTCCTGGTATAGCACTTCCTTCAGCACTTCTTGGAGAGCTGGTCTGATGTTGGTAACTTCTTTCAGGTTTTGTTTATCTGAGAACGATTTTGTCTTTTCTTTCCATATGAAAGATAATCTTACTGGGTATAGTATTGGTTGAAATTGTTTTTCACTTAACACTTTTGAATGTATTTTTCTATTCTTTTCTTGCTTGCATTGTTTCCGATGAGAGGTCCAAAGTTAGCCTGATGGGATATCATTTGAAAGTAACTTGATGTTCTTCTCTTGCCAAATTGACTATCTTGTATCTGTCTGTGGATTTAGCTATGATGGGCCTTGGAGAATAACTTCTTGGTTCGATTCTATGTGGGGTCCTTTGTATTTCTTGGGCCTGGATATTTGAGTGGCTTGCTAGGTTTGGGAAGTTTTCTTTCAGGACTTCATGGAATAGATTATCAATGCCCTTAATAGTTTCTTTACCTTCTGGGATACCAATGATCTGGATGTTTGCGCATTTAATGGAATCTAGTATTACTCATATGTTTTTTTTTTTTTTAAATTCTTTTTTTTTTTTTTTTTTGTTGTTATTTTCTCAGTCTTTTTGGTGAATTTTTCTAGGTCAGAGGTTCTACCTTCTATATCTGAGATTCGACCTTCTGCCTGATCTTATCTGTTTTGATATTTTCAAGTCAAGTTTTGATTTCCTGTATTACAGCCTTCATCTCTAACAATTCCATTTGATTTTTTTTTTTTTTTTAATGTTGTGTATCTCCTTTTTTCAGATCGGGCAAGAACTTCATTACCTTGTGGAACTCAGTGTCTCTTTTCTTCTGCATCTTCTGGAGTTTGTTGTCTCTCTTCTCTTGCATCTCTGTTAGCTTTGTCACTATGAATATTTTAAATTCTTTATCTGACATTTCCATGACTTCTCTTGTATTTTTTATGGAGGAAAAGGAGTTATTCTTTTCCAGTAGAGGAGAGCTATTTCTCATATTTCTTGTGCCTCTGTGGTGGTTTCTGGTCATCTGATGGATTATACGTTTTTTTCTGACTTCTAGCTAGACTGGAGAGCAGGAGGTGAAGTCTGAGCAGAGAGTCTTTGGTGGCTGAAATCCCCAAATGGGGGCTGTTGGAGCTCAAATATAGATGGCTGCTGATTGGCTTATCCTGACTCCTGGCTAGACTAGGGAGCTGGAGGGTGAAGTCTGGGCAGAGGGTTATTTATTTATTTTAATTTCAGCCATGTGGGAGTTTAACACCCTTAACCACCATGCCACCTGCTGCTGGCCCCCACTTTTTTTTTTATTATGGCCATCTGGGAAGAGATGTGAAATGGTTTCTCATTGTGGTTTTAATTTGCATTTCCTCAGTGATGAATGTTTTTGCACTTTTTGGCCATTTGTATAGCTTTTGCTGAGAAATGTCTTTTGACTAGTTAAGACTTCTTTATGTATTTTGGGTACTAGACCCCTAACCGATATGTGATTTGTGAATATTTTCTCCCATTTTGTTTGTTTGTCTAATCACTTTATTAATAATGCCTCTTTTGTGAAAGCCCCGATTACTCTATATTTCCTTTTGTTGCTTGTATTTTTCATGTCATATCATGTCATTGCCAAATTCAAGGTAATGATGATTTTCCCTGTGTTTTTTTCCTATGAGTTTTATAATTTTAATCACTTCTATTTCGGTCTTCCATTCTTTTCGAGTTAATCTTTGTGAAATATGGATCTAACTTTTATCTGTGGATATTCTGTTGTTCCAGCACTGTTTCTTGAAGAGACACATCTTTCCTCCTAATTTAAGTTTGACTCATCCCACTGTATTGATCATAAAGGTATCTAGCTATACTGGCATATCCTGTGCTCAAAGCAAGATATAGAAGGTCTGTGGCAGTCTTCTAATTTACTAATTTAGTATGCTTGTTCAAAAAAGATAATTTATAAAAAATTTTAAAATTTATTTTTAGTTTATATATTTTCTTTATGAGAATGAAAGAGAGAAAGGGAGGGAGGGGGAGAGAAACAGGAATGGGTGGAGTGAAAGAGGGGGCAGCACCCTCCACAGGGTCTTCGTGCCATAGTCTTTCCTCTGCCCTGTGGCCAGCCAGGATCCATCCCAGGATGCAAACCTAGAGCCTTCTGACATAGCTTCCAGCACTACACAACAGCACCTCCATTCTCTGCTCCACCTTAACTGGGTCTAAAAATAAATAAAAAATAATTTATTAACTAATTAATTAATTAAGGAGAGATTTTTGCTGTAGGGTGCATGTACTCACCAGAAAGACAGAGATAGCCAGTGAGAAATCACTACCCAGTGGAGATAGCCACACCACAGTCTCTTCTCCATTCTCCTCTCAGGATTTTGGACATGCATGCACACATGCCCAGTGTGAGTTTTAAGCTGCTAGGTCTAGGGCTGAAACCGTGGTCAACTATGTGGGAGACCATTATGGTGTCTGCTAGTCCCTAAACATTTAATGGTAATATAGTAACACCTGTTCTATACTGCATTAATTTTAAAAAAATTTAATTTTATCCATTATTATTATTTTAATTTGATCAGAGAGAGAAAGTGAGGAAGCAAGCTGCCAGGTCCAGGACTTGAACCACAGCCAGCCATGTGGGAATCCAGTGTCTCAACCACTTTCCACTTGCCAGCCCCACTGCATTAATTTTTAAAAGGGTGCTAAACCCCTACGTTCTAAAGGTTTTTTTTTTAGAATTTTACTGGCGACTGATAATGCTTTTACCTATCCTTTTCTCCCCTTTTTGGAAATAGTATAATTTATCTTTCATTGTTTTTTTCTGGCACTTCTACAAAATTTTCCATAATTTGTCAGACTGCTCACCTTGGTTTTTCACTGAAGGGCTCTTCCAACTCCCTAGGATGTATTGGGTTGTCATGACTTTTCTGATGACCCCAAAATTATTTAGAACCTTCATACTTTAAAACTACATTAATGCAGTTTGGAGTTATTTCACCTGTTTTAGTTTTCAATTTTATCTCAATGATGTTGTTTTGGCACTTACAATTTTATGGACAAGATATGATAGCTATGAACAGTAATTCTGCTTTGTCTCTAAAATCTGTTAATATACTATTACAAGTGTTGGACCTATCCTTTCTCAGAAGCCTGTATTGGGGCTGAATGGTGGCATACTGGTGAAATGCAATGTTCTTCAAGACTGACCCATATGAGTAGGCTCCAGGTTCCCTTTCAGAGACCTTCCTGTGTACACTGGGCATGCTAGTGCCCATGATCTGGAGTTTGCTGAACTGGGCATAGGTTGCATTGTCAAGACCCTGGGAGGGTGTTGCCTTACTGTCTTTTTGTCTGTGTCTCTAATTCATTAAATAAATAAATAAAGGCAAGAAAAATTCTTCTTGTTCTTTATTTATAGACCTCACTGCATTCTGGAATAAATTAATTCTATGTGTAAAAGTTTGTACATTTTCTTTTTGCATTTCTCTTTGGTTTATATCCTTTAAAAATTGAGCTATATCAGAAAACACTTTGCTTACTCTTACAATACTATGCATCCCCTTTCTTTCTCATTGAAATTATATTATGCTGTTAGAATAATATGAAGCCTGAGATCAGCAGATGGCATAATGGTTCTGTCCCTGGACTCCTATGTAGTCTACTGTGGTTCGAGTCGCAGACCCAGAGGCCTAAAACTCACACCATGTATGTATGTGTGTGTGTATGTGTCCAAAATTCCAGGAAGAGAATGGAGGAGAAGGAATTGTGGCATGGCCATCCTCCCTAGGGGATGATTTCTTGCTTTCTGTGTCTCTGTCTCTCTGGTGAGCACATATACCTTATAGCAAAAATCTCTCATAAAAAAATAAAAAAGAATATTATCAGACTTTCCAGCACTTTGATTTTTATCTCATGTTCTTAATTATATATCAGGATTTTTCTTTTTGATAATATTTGTGAGATTTTTAAAGTTGAGACTAAATGAGTCTACTTCCTTTGCCATTCAAAAAAGTCAAATTTCTCCAAACATTTTGGTGCTTTTATATTTCTTTGTTTTCACTAGCACTTCTCTCTCTCTCTCTCTCTCTCTCTCTGTTTTCTGCTAGAGAGTGTGTGCACCTGCCAGAGAGAGCAAGAAGAAAAAGCACCCCCCCATGAGGAATGGTCATGCTGTAGTCCCTTCTTCTCCATTCTCTCCCTTCTTTTTGGTGCAGTTTCTTTCCTGAGCCAACATGTCAAGACTAAAACCTTACATTTGATCATGTGGGATCTGGCTTCCCTATACACCAGGCCACATAGCTGGCTCCGCACTTTATTTCTTAAAAATTAAGGCATTGAATACTACAGGTTTTATCAGGGGACTTCTAGTAAGTAAATGTGTTAATGATTGAATCTGTTGTTACTATTATATCTTGCCTATTTACTGGTTTAGAATTAGAACATTATCCAGTATATTCTGCTATTGTTTTTATAACACATTTTCATAGTGTTACAGTCTCTGTTTTATTTCTACCTTTAAGTTTGAGAATTTCATTAAATATATAAATCTTGATACCTCCATTAGTAAATAAGGCTTTTCTTTTCTTTCTTTCTTTCTTTCTTTTTTTTTTTTTTTAATTTGCCAAAGGGTATGTGTTCTTGTTGGAGAAAGGGAGGGAGGGAGAGAGGGAGAGGAAAGAGAGGGAGAGGAGTGAGAGAGAAAGTGAGAAAGCATCCCCATAGGGATGGTCATGCAATTCCCTTTCCTTCCCTTCTCCTTTTGGGATTTTGTGTATGCATGTACATGTACTGGGTATGGTTTTCAAGCCACCAGATCCAGGACTTGAACTGTGTAGTCAGCCATTTAGGATCTATCTGTCTTAGCCATCACACCACTGCCTGGCCCAGGCTTTTTTTTTTTCCCTACTTGAGTTGCGAATTTTTCCCCCACTGAGGTTGTTCATATGTCACCAATCAAATGCACTTACCTTAGTGATGGAAATGTTCTACAATATAAGGTACATTTTTCAACACAGAGACCATTAGTCATGTGGCTGTTAAGCACATGAAATGTGATTTAGTGGAGGCAAGAAATTGAAAATTTTATTTTATTTCATTTAAGTAGTGATATGATTACCAAGTTGGAAAATATAACCTCAGTCAGGCCTTTAAAAAATTTGTCTTGATTTATAGTTCCCTTACAAAGATGTTCTTCTCAGTCTTTGTAAAGTGTTGGGCACCCTCAATGTGGTATCATAAGCTTTGGTAAAGAACATGTTTTAAAAACTGTTTTCTGACCTTGTTGGACCCTAATGTAGCTCAGACCCTTGAATTAGTCAAACTGCCTGGATTCCAACCCCAGATTGCCTCTCAGTTAGCTGTGCAAACCTTGAGCAAGTCACTTAGCCTTACTGTTACTCATTTTTTCTCACATATAAAATAGGATAATACGTTATTCGTAGGTTATTGTAAGGATTAAATTATTTAATAGGTATAAAGTGCTTAGTTAAGTTTATGCTTAATATATAAGTAAAATCTACAAGTAGAAGGCTATCCACTTCCAGTGTTCCTCTTTTTCTTTCAGTGTTACCTTTAACAAATGGAAATAGAAAGAACAAGGCCACCTATGTCTTCGAGTAATTAAAAGTCATTCTGTTTTTTGCAGCTTCTAATACCATTTGTTTCTCTTATGTTTTTCTAACCCTATATCACATCTTGTATATAAGCTTGAAGAAGCCAATGTAGTTTTGGATTTACCATATTAGATATAGTCACTATATGATATTCCTTTTGCCTTGTTTCTTGTGTTTATTAGCCTTTTTTTCTTGTTTTGTTGCCAAAGGTATGTTCCTGCTTTTGTTTCACATAGCGGTATGTCAGTTCACATTCACCATACATCCTGCAGTTTCCTTCTACTTGGGCTGAATATCTTACCTCTTTCTTTGTTAGATTTTTCCATTCAGCAGCCTCAAAATAAGAGATAGAAACAGTCTATGGTGATTTTGTAAAAGGAAGAACACTAATGTTTATTTCAAATTATTTTCATTTTATGTAGGAAAGGTATAAAGTTTTAGTATGAAATAAAATTCAGTGACCATATTCTAAGAATTGATCATTTTTTCACATTTTATTGATTAACTAAAGATCTTAATTAAACTAAATACTTTTCAATAGTAAGTACAGTTGATATAAATGTATCTATGAACAAATGAAGAATTGGTAAGATTTTAGGAAACATTTGAGATTTCTGTAATCAATGAAAATAGAAGCTTTTAATTTTCCCATTAGCCATGGTTTTTATCTTAACACTGTATTACATTTGTCTAGCTTTATCTCATTTAGATCTCAAAACAAAGGAGATAAGTTGTTATATGTGAAGGACAGACATAATCTTCAGTTTCCTGAGGGAAAGGGGAAGGGGAGGACAAAGGAAAGAATATGATTAAATTTAGCAAAGGAAAGGCCAAAGTCAGACTTGTACTGGGCTCTTTTTTAAAAAAAAAAAATAATTATTTATTTTATTTTATTTATTCATTCATTTATTTTTTAATTTGAGCAGAGAGAGACAGAGGGTGAGAATGAGAGAGAGAGGAAGTGAGAAAGCAAGCCACCAGATTCAGGACTTGAACCCTGGTTGGCCATGTGGGAGTGTCCAGCACCTTAACCACCACGCCACCTGCTGGTTCCCTGTACTGGGCTCTTGACTCCTACTTACCATCAGCCCCAGGCACTGTATTCTAGAGCAGAAGACAAGGGTGACTCATTTGAATTATCTTTGGCCTTGATGTAATTCATGGAAATTAGGTCTTTTTTCTGTATTATAAATAATTGAAAAATTTTAGAAAAATGAAGGCATTTAGGGAAATGAATAATAAATGTTATACATCATTCTTGTCATGTATTCTTCTCCCCTTTGTTTGCATTAGATAGTGTGATGGTATCTAAGCCAAATGATACTTGAAAATAAATACATTTTTATCTTACTGGATGTAATGATGTAGAGCATATTAGTCATAGTTTAAATTTATACAACATTTTATCATGGCAAATAAGTTGGTCATGATATTTGGAATTGTAGTTTAAATATTTGAAGTTGATTATAGGGCTAGCCTTTTCTGTGCAAATGTTTTATACAAGACAGATCAACAATTGCAGTTAACATTCTTAAAATATGACAAACTCTTCAGTTTAGTTGAATTATTTAAAATGATTTAAAAGTATCTTTTTAATGTGTATTTATACCAATATGAACTTGTGAGAGTTGTATCCTCATTTAAAATTGGGAATTTTACTTAATACTAATTTATGACTGACTTGTATTTACTTTGCCAATATAGTTAATGCAGAAAGTTCTGACTTTCAGATTAGTAACTTTTTTCTTACAACAATGGTTATGTCACTTATGGAAAGTAATCGGTTTATCATTTTATATATATTATGATGATTGTAAAATCCTAAAAAGCTTGTTAGCAATGTCTTATGCTCTTAGCCATAGGTAAATGATTCTCAAAATTTATGTTTAAATATTTATTAGGAACTTTTTTAAAATTTTAAGCATTTAAATATTAGAACATTTATATGGTATTTGGAAGTATTTGGAGGATAGTAGTAAATCCTCATATTTCTTCCATAGATTTATGAGAAAATTAAAGAAGACAAAATATAAGCTAAGTAATAGAAAAAAGCAGAATCTTATTAGTAACATATTGTCTCATCTAGTTTTCTTTTTATTTGGTTTATTTTTAGAGACTAAAATAAAGCTATTTGGTAGTATTTTAAACTGGTGCCCTAGGCTCAGCTTATTGATTTGTTTATAAATGTTTTATGTCTTTAAAAAGACAGCTTCGTTAAGTTATCATAAAGAATCCTTAGTGATGTTGTTCTTTCTGTTTTATTATAGAGCTGAACTAGAGAAACATGGTTATAAGATGGAAACTTCATAGCATCCTGAAGAAGTATTGAAGTAACCTGTACTTGAACTTTTTACTAAATTCTAGATCGGAAAACCCAGGATGGAACACTTAAGAAAATATGTTTATTTCATTCTCTGCTTGGATTTATTTTTGTCTTTGTAACAAATAAATAAATAAGTAAATGTCTTCATCTAATCTTGATTTGGTTCAGGAATCTTGATCTTTTGCCTCTAATCATTAACTTTTTATGAATGATTTTCCAGGATTTCATTGTGAAGAGACAAGATTATGAAAAAAAAAGTATAAATATTAACCTATGGTCAATGCTAAATGATATGGGACTAGAATTCATCTGATTCTCACAACAGTTGTGCCACCCTATCCATACACAGCTTCTGTGTAACTGTGGATTGGAAATACTTAAAGAAAAAAAAAAGTTACATCTGTACTTAATATATATAGATTTATTTTTCCTATTATTCCCTAAACAGTGCGGTATAACAAGAATTTACATTAGCTATCCTAAGTGATCAAGAGATGATTTAAAGTATACAAGAGGATGTGTATAGATTTTATGCAAATACATCATTTTTTCAATAAGGGACTTGAGCATCCATGGATTTTGATATTTGCCAGGGTTCCTGGAAACAATCCTTTGTGTGTCCATTGAGGGACAACAGTCCTTTTTTAAACTACATAAATGAGGGACCAGCAAATGGCATAATGGTTACATTGCTGGACTCCCATGTAGTGGACTGCAGTTTGAGTTCTGGAACCCATGGCTTAAAACTCACTCCAGGCATGTGTATGTGAGTGCCAAAGATCTCAAGAGGAGAATGGAGAAGGGATTGTGGCGTGGCCATCCCCCCAGGGGGTATTTTCTCACTTTCTGTCTCTGTCTCTCTCTGTCTTTCTAGTGAGTACACCTGCCCTATAGCAAAAATCTCTCTTTAAAAAAAAATACATGAATGAAATGCTATTCCTATTAGAAGATACTTCTTCCTATCAGCCATGGTTTTTATCTTAATACTGTATTACATTTGTATACCTTTATCTCATTTAGACCTCAAAACAAAGGAGATAAGTTGTTAAATATGGAGGACAAACATTATAATCTTCAGTTTTCTGAGTTGGAGAACAAAGGAAACAACTTGATTAAAATGAGCATTTTTTTGGTATTTTTCAAGTAGAGGACTGCGGGAGATAGGAGTTTATAATTTGAAAGATCTATTGGTATCAATCATTGGTTCAGTCAGAGATAGGTAAAATTGTGTGTTATATTGTGTTTAACAATATAACATATAGTTCATTAGGAAGAGAGAGAAAAGACACTTTTACTCACACACTTAGTTCCTATAAGTCCTTAGTTCTGTACTGTGCATAAAGGAATGCAAAGAAACAATACATTTGCAAAGAGATGTTTAAAAGTGAAGACATGGTAAAGCCGGTGATTTGGTGACATAGAGGCTTTACAGAGTTCTTGATTTTAGCTTTTTTTAAAAATTCAGTCCAAAGAAAGACTGAGTTGTAACATTTAGGATTTTTTTTCTGTATTATTTAGTTCTATATAATGAGTAATGGTTATAATAAATACATAAATTGAAACCTGGGGAGACAATTGTCTATCAAAGAAATTAGATTTGTATTTAAACCTACTTTTGTGTAAAATATTTGAGTCTACATTTAGTCCCCATATTCAATGTTACTAGGTCTTTGGAAAAGTCATGAAGTTTTTTTTTGTTTTGTTTTGTTTTTTTAGAATTATTTTAACTTTATTTACTTATTTTAATTTTACCAGAGAGGGATAGAGTGAGAGAGAGAGGGAGGTTGGGGAGAGAAAATGAGAAAGCAAGCCACCAGGTCTGGGACTCCATCTGTGGTCAACCACATGGGAGTCCAGCATTCCCAGCCACCACACCACTCGCTGGCCCCAGTCATGACATTTTTCTATGCAAAAATGTGTCATGACTTTTCTATCATGAAAATAGTATCAATATGTGTGGACTTACCCTTTTTTTTCTAGTTGTTTTGTGTTCCTACTTTTTTTTTTAAAGAATTATTTAATTTCATTCATTATTATTATTTTTTAATTTGACCAGAGAGAGACAGAAAAGGAACATGAGAAAGCAAGCCAACAGGTCCAAGACTCGTACTGTAGTCAGCCATGTGGAAATCCAGCGCCTTTAACCACCACGCCACTTGCTAGCCCTGTGTTCTCTTCCTTCTGTTTGTCTTTTTAGTTTTCCTGATATAGTAGTCTCTTAAGTATATTCTGAAGAGCTAGTTTCTTTTGGGTGAATTCTTTCAGCATTTGTTTATCTGGGAATGATTTAATTCTCCTTCCCATTGGAAGGATAATCTTGCTGGGTATAGTACTCTGCTTGAAATTGCTTTTCTTTCAGAGTTTTAAATATGTCACTGTGGGGCCAATAGGGGACTGGTGGTTAAGGTGCTGGATCCCACATAGCCAACTCTGTAGTTTGAGTCCTGGACCTGGTGGCCTGAAAATCACTCCAGGAATGTGTAGGCATGCCTAGAATCCTAATAGGAGCATGGAGGAGAAGGGATTGTGATGTAGTCATCCCCTTTGGGGCATGATTTCTCCTTTTTTCTTTCTCTCTCTCTCTTTGCCCACTTCTGTCTTCCAGTGAGTGCATATGCCCTATGGCAAAAATCTAAAAAAAAAAAAAAAAAGTCGTAACATTGTCTAATTGGTATGCTGTGCAGTGGTTACCTGACATGACTTGAGTTTAAATTGGTGAGACACAGTTTTTGTCATCTTATATGAGTTGAGCAGAAGCTGTAATGGGTTTTCTATAGTTATCCAAAATTGTCCTGAGTATCAAAATTTGATTTAGGTGATTCTGTTTATTAATTATTACCTGAAAATTGGTATCTGGCTTCAGTATGATGAAGCTCTTTAGAGGTTAGCGGCAAGACTAGTCAGGCAGTTGAATAAACTTTTTACGTGATTTTATACTTTATAATTTTTTAAACTTTCGATCTTCACAACAACTCTGTGAAGTAAGCAAGAAGGTCCTGTCTATTATAAACATTTTATCAAATAGAAGATAGTCTCACAGACAATAATTTTTTTTTTTTTTTTTTTTTTTTTTTGCCATGGGGTGCATGTGGCAAAATGAGAAATCACCCTCTGGCAGCCGGATGGCCATACTGTAATCCTTTCTTTTCCATTCTCCTTGGGATTCTGGGCACACATGCCCAGCATGCTATTCAAGCTGCCACATCCAGAACTTGAACCGAGGAGTGGGCCATATGAGATCCAGTGCCTTAACCACCGTGCCACCTGCTGACCCTAGATAATGTTTTTACTTGAAAGCAAGTTTCAAAATAGCTTGGTAACAGTTTTCCTGTTCTGTAAAATGGAAAGAATAAGCACAGGGTTAAATTGAAGAGTAACATGATGATTAATGTAGTAGTAGTGATCAATAAATGTTCTTTTTACTTCTTCCTGAGCCATGCTACCAATTATCTGGAAATTTTCTTACCTCCCCTTAACGACTAATGCTTTTGTGATACAGTGTACCAGACATTGTTCTAAGTTATTTTTGTCTTAATTTAATAATCACAACAACTCTGAGATAGGTAATGTCATTTGTATTTCACACATGAGAAAACTGACTCACCAAGAAACTTGAGTAAATTGCTCGTAGTCACTTACCTAGGAAGTGGTAAAAAAACTCAAGGAGAGGGACTATTCTATATAACTCTGGATTTCTCTTTTAACGACACATAATACAGTCTCTTCTGTATAAGTGCTTCTTACATTTTAGTCAAGTGGGTATGTGGAGAAGGGACATTTACTGTAAATTTGCTCCTTAATAGAAGTTTTTATAGATACAGACATAAATGCTTCTGTTGGTAATGACTCCCTTTTTTTTCCTTTGTAGTTTTTTTATAATTACTTCCCCATTCCATAATGAGCCAACTTCATTTTGAAAGACTGTGTGGTTACAAATAATGCCTTACTTTTTATGGCATGCTATGATCTGCACTATATTTTAATATGGTATCTATATCCTCTCTTTCACATACCTCCCAAGTTTATCTGTATCCTTCCTGTCCCACACTTACAAATTGAGAGAGAAAACCTATCCCCCAGCCTTTTGGCGGAGAGCTACCAGTTTGTACCACCCTCCCTCCAACCATGCATGTGATGCTGGGAGATTGGTCTTGGGTTTTTAGCTACCTTAATAGCTACTATTATTTCATTCCTAAATCTTGGCTTGGCTCTGGACTCTGCCCTGCTCTGAATCTACTTCCAGCCCTATTCATACATACTCTTTACTAATTCTGTCTAGTCCCAGTTGCTTTAAAAACACAGTTCCAGGACCAGCAAGTGGTATGATTCTTTGTGGTCAACTGTGGTTCAAGTCCCAGACCCTGGCATTGAAAATCACACCTGGCATGTGTGCATCCATGTTCAAAATCCTGAGAGGAGACTGGAGGAGAAGGGATTGCGGAATGACTGTCCCACCTGAGGGGTGGTTTTTCACTTTCCTTCTCTCTGTGTCTTTCTATTGTACATGCACTGTATAACAAAGACTGTAAAAAGAAATTTACGTATGTATGATTTCAGATCTGTATTTCCAGTTTTGGCCTGTCCTTGAAATTTCAAGCTCATGTGTCCAACTAAAATTTGCCTCTCCAATGTTTAACAAATATCGTCAGGTTAACGTGGTAAAAACAGAAGCCTTGATTATTGTTCTCAAAGCTGATGATTCCTCCACTCTT